TTTTTTTTTTTTTTTTTTGTTGTTGTTGCTGAAGTATCTCTCCCAACTTTCTACTGAGGAAGACATTCAAATCTATAGAAAAGTTAAAAGAATATTACAATGAAAATGATTTCCCTTCCAAATTCACCAAATCTTAGCAGTTTGCCACATTTGCTTTCTCTCTCTCTGTCTTTGCCTCTATCTCTATACCCTTATCTACATATAAATATATATTTTTTATGGGTGCAACTGAGAAGCGTTGCAGACATTATGACCCTTGACCCATAAATGCCTCTGATTAAAGGGTTTTATAGAGAGAGAGAAAGAGTGAGAGCAAGAATGAGCACGAGCGGGGGAGGGGCAGAGGGAGAGAGAATCCCAGGCAGGCTTCACGCTCAGTGTGGAGCCTGAGGTGGGTCCCCATCTCACAACCCCTAAAGTGTCTTACAGCGTATCTCAGACCTCACATAATCTTAGCTGTGTATCTGTGACTCTATAAAAGACATTCTTTCGTAACAACTAACAGAATTAACAATTACTTGTGTTCACATAGTACCCAATCAACGGACACATTTCCCTGTTGTCCTTTCAAAAAATCTTTTTGCCATCAGTGTATTGGAATCCCAGTCTCTGCAGGATTTACTCGTTTCAGTCACTTGTTAAATCCCTTAAGTCTCTTTTCAAAAACTGAGATAAGGGGCGCCTGGGTGGCTCAGTCAGCTGAGCTTCAAACTCTTGATTTCGGCTCAGATCGTGATCCCAGAGTTGTTGGATCGAGCCCCACATCGGGTCTGCACTGAGCGTGGAACTTGCTTAAGATCCTCTCCCCCTCTCAGGGGCATGTGGCTCAGTTGGCTGAGCATCTAGATGATCTTGATCTAGATGAGCTCAGGTCATGGTCTCATGGTTCGTGAAGTCGAGCCCTGTGCCCGGCTCTGCACTAAGAGTGTAGAACTTGCTTGGGATTCTTTCTCTCTCCCTCTCTCTCTGCCCCTCCCCCACTCATGCTCGCCCTCTCTCTCTCAAAATAAGTAAATAAACTTAAAAAAAAAAGATTCTCACCCTCTCTCTGCCCCCTTTCCTCCAGCTCGCTCGTGTGCATACTCTCACCCTCTCAAAAAAAAAAAAATACTGATAAAAAATTTGCATACAGTAGATCTTTTTGTTACATGTGTACATCTACATAACCTCCATAGTAAAACCTCCCTTTTCTTTTTTCTTTTTTTGTTAAATGTTCTATTTATGTATTTTGAGAGAGAGAACAGGGAAGGGGCAGAGAGAGAGAGAGGAGAGAGAATCCCAAGCAGGTTCTGTGCTGTCAGCATAGAGCCCAATGTGGGATTCGAACTCACAAACAGTGAGATCCTGACCTGAGCCAAAACCAAGAGCAGAACACTTAATCGACTGAGCTACCCAGGCACCCCAGCTTCCCTTTTCTGTGCCACTGGAATGCCCCACATTCGGAATGTGTCTGCTTTCTTGGGGCATCATTTTAGTTGTTTCTCTGGCGCCTGTATTTCTAAAGTCTTAATTATATTCTGCTTCAACTTATTTTTGGGAGTGGGGAGTTAGAAAAGACTTCGTGGGGCGGGGGCACCCGATTCAGTCGGTTAAGCACCTGACTCTTGATTTCGGCTCAGGTCATGATCTCAGGGTTCATGAGATCAAGCCCTGTGGCGGGCTCTGCACTGAGACCACGGAGCCTGCGTGGGATTCTCTCTCTCGCTCTCAGTCTGCCCCTCCCCAGCGCCCCCCACCGTG